CGTACCCCACTCCTGTGCACTCAATCACCCTCGTGGAGTCACTCCCCGATTGCCCGGTCCGCGTCTGGGAGGTGGCCCGCCTCATGGGCCGGGACAAGTTTCTCTGTTGGGTCCTGGACTGGGTGGGGAGGGGGTGGCCTGCGGCCGAGCAGGGCCCTGAGTTCATGCCGTTTGTCACACGAAAAGATGAACTGTCCATGTACAAAGGGTGCCTGATGTGGGGTGTCTGGGTGGTGATACCTGCTCCACTATAGCCACAAGTCATAGTGGCTCTACACAAGCACCACCCCGGGATCATGAGGATGAAGGCGTTAGCGAGGAGCTACATCTGGTGGCCAGACCTCGATTGGGACATTGAGGACAAGGTAAAACAATGTCAGCACTGCCAGGTCTCTCACCCTGAACCGCCCAGGGCCCCGGAGAGAGCATGGGAGTCCTCCCACCACCCCTGGTCTCGGCTCTAGCAAATGGCTAGAGGTCATTCCCATTCTGTCCACCTCCTCAAGATCCGCAATCAAGGCCATGTGGTGAATCTTCAGTGCTCAGGGTATCCCGGACACCTTGGTAATGGACAATGGCACTATGTTCACGTCTGGGGAATTACAGGAGTTTACATCCTACTATGGAATTTGCCATGTGCGTTCAGCCCCATTCCACCCCATCACGAACGGCCAAGCAGAGCAGATGGTCAGAACCACCAAGGATGCACTCTGCAGACTAAAATCACCGGACTGGGACTACAAGTTGGCCTCCTTCCTCTTCGGCCAACGGACCACCCCACACACCATGATGGGACGCATCCCTGCCGAACTGCTCCTGGGTCGCCGCCTCACTACACGCCTGGATAGGCTACACCCGGATAGGGCTCCAGAACGCGAGCCGGACACAGAGGACCAGAAAGCCGCCCGAGGTTTCTTCCCTGAGGACCCCGTGTACGCACGGAACTACGCCAAGGGCCCGCTGTGGATTCCGGCATGAGTGGTACGAGTCAAGGGTACCCATTCATACGAGGTCGCCTGTGAGGATGGAGTGGTGCTACAAAGACACATCGACCAACTGCGTCGGCGAGTGCTGCCACTAGACCCGGAGGAAACCGAAGAACTCTACACGTCCGATGGTCCAGAGTCACAGCCACAGTCTGAGGTTGTCAACACACCGGAGACAGAGTCCCCTATGTCAGTCCACCCTCCCACAGACTCTCCAGCCACTGAGGACGAGGCCCCCCAGGCTGGCGCTGGCCAGCTCTCCGCCGAGAGCATCAGCGTCCCCGACAATTCCGACAATACCGTTCCATCATAGAACGTAAAGCTCCGGCATATTCAAAGGACTATGTATGCGGATGTCTTTCGGACCAAGGGGGGAGGGGTGTAGTGTATCTATCGCCGACCGTGTGGCACACAAAGGCTCCACGCGGCCAGGCTAAACCTCTAAGCTTCGCTCCTTAGAATAATGGGTTTAGCAGATCCTAGCCTGCCCCAATCAGAGGGCTAGGCTCCCGGCTGAGAGCCTATGGAACTCTCAACCATTGTAAATAGCCAATTACTTGTGTGGGGTGTGTTTTGGGTGTGGGTTTTCAGGGATATAAACCGGCCTGCGAGCCGGGTATAGTTGTCTTGTTCTTTCTGAATAAAAGAGCTGAAATCACGAGTATGTCTAAGGACTTTTTAGTCGCGAAGAGTTGGACTGGAGTGTGCATCTGAACAACAGTACATTATGCAGTCAATCCTGTCTTTCTAGGTATATTTATGATTGCTTCACAGTTCCATTTTACCAGCCGCTGTTGAGGATCATTGAAACATCTGATTGATACCTGGGAGAGATGTATGGCTGTTATTCTTTCAACAGTGGGTGTCTTCTGCTGAAGCTACTTTCTGTTTGGAGGTCTATGGACACTATCTATGTATGGAATTACAAAGGAGCCTGTTGGTTTTGAACACGTTCTTTTTGTAAAATATGCTTGTTATGAGCAATCTGTTAGATAAGTGCCTATACATTCTATTGGGTTATGACCACTAACCCTTCTTTGTATTTCAATTAATGCAATATACAGTTTTGAGCATATATAGTTGTGAATTGTGGATGGTCTTCCCTTGGTGGGTGTTATTTGTGGCTATACTTGTATGCTAAGGGTTCCCTATTGTCTTTGGTGTGGTTGTAACACCTGAACTGCTTCAGGAGGTGGAAGACAAAGTTCCTGTCGTTGCGCTTCTCTCAGATTGCCTGCAAAGGCTGAGGGAGGGGTAGGAAGAGGATGCAAGGAGAATAGCCCATTGGCACGAGGGGTTAAGGGGCTGCTCAGGGGGTTATTGTCCTGCTGCTAGCTAGCTCCCAGCTCCTTCAGCAACACTTACCAGACGTCTTGGATCTTCTGGGGGTAGGCTTTGATTCTGGAGCAATGCACAGCACTTCAGAGAGAATACAACTCCCAGACAGAAATCTTGGTCTGTCTTTATTATTTCTGTACTGCCCCAGGTGCTGCTCCTCCACACCGGTTTTTTACCCATTAACTCTTACCTAGCCATGTCTCTCCTCTATATTTCCCTGACAACAACCCCGTGATGTAATCAGTTCCGCTGTACTAAGCTGCCCCCTTGGGGCCCCCCAAACAAATTGTTTCTGGGTATGGGGCTGGCGGGAACAGACAGTTTTCAAAACTGAAGGAGTGATGTCTAGGGTTGCCAATATCCAGGAGGGGCACAAAGATTTCCCAGAATTACAAATGATCCACAAACAACAGAGATCAGTCCCCCTAGAGAAAATGGCTGCTTTGGAGCGTAGGCTGTGTCATTATACCCCACTGAGGTCTCTCTTATGGTTGCCAAACCTGCTGGTGGTGGCTGGAGATCTGCTTTACACCTGATCTCCATGTGACAGACATTGAAGTCCCTCCCCTCACCAAACCCCACCCTTTTAGGCTCAGCCTCCAAAATCTCCAGATATTTCCCAACCCAAAGCTGGCAACCCTAGTCCCTCCCCTGGCTGTACCCCTAAATCTTCAGGAATTTCCCAACTCAGAGTCAGCAACCCTAGCTGAGGTCTCCTAAGGACTTGTATCGGATTTCAGAACTGTGTTGTTGAATTTACTATGAATTTAACTGGAACAATGAGAGACTGGTGAGGCAGAAAAAATTGCCTGGATAATATCCAATTATTCATGCTGGTGAAATTCAAAAGAGTGAAATTCAAAAGAGCCCTTATTTCATATACAGGCTGATGGGGCGTGAACTATCTGTGACCACCCAAGAACAAAATCTTAAAGGTATGAGCTCACTGGAAACCAACTTGGCACACAGTGAAAAGGCAAATTCAGTATTGGGAATTATTCCAAAAGGCAGAGAAACTCTGCTAATTAAAAGACATTTGGAGCATTTTAGGTTAGAAAAACAAGTAATAAAGAGGATGCAATAGCTATTTGTAACACTATGAACAGAGGAAAGAGAAGAGACTATTAATGGTATGCAGAGAGTAGGAACAATATTTCTTCTCACCTTCACGCACTTCAGATTCTCCAGGGCTCTTCTTATGTTCTTATTTTACAGAGATCACTTCCCCTGGAGAAAACGGCTGCTTTAGAAGGTGGCCTCTATAGCATTATTCCCCACTGAGGTCCCTCCCCCAACCCCACCCTCCCCAAAATTCCCTAGCCCAGACCTGGCAACCCTAGTCACAAAGGCAATTCTTACCTAGGTATTCTACCACTTAAACAGCTGGATATATTAGTTGCTACTGATGCACAAATCTGTGCCCTGTGTAATTTGCAATTGTAGATACAATGAGAAAATTCATACTATATCTACTAAATAACTGAATTCATGGAATGCATGTATGCCTCCCACCCATTCTAGACATCATTTTTTAAAACAGTATGCAAATTATGAAATCTTAATTAAAGTGAACACATCTTTACCAAATGAACAGAAAGAAACAACCAGAAATTTCCCCAACATATGCAGCTTCCCTTTCTGAACTTCTACAGTTTAATTTAAATCAGATCTGAGCCCTAGATCCTGTTACAGTATCAGTGTTTAGCCACCTACATGAGAAGTAATAATAACCTCTTAGCATTTATAATGTGCACTTCCCCTGCCTCTGAGTAACCATAATCCAGTTTTACAGACCTGGGATTAGGTAGCACTGGCCTCCCTATCATAGTATGTCTTTATTATACTTTAATAACATTTTCCAGGTAAAAACAGACCCCAAGGCAGTTCACAGGCATCAAAATCTAATGCAAATGAAGACAACCACCAATACAAAACGTTCTTTGGAAAGGGGTTTCTGGCTAAAGTTAGATGCAGCAGCAGGAAAAATGAGGGGTACCTGATTGCTTGTAGGCGGACCTGAGCCACACAGATCCTCAATTTAGCAATTAAGAAAGGAATTTCTGTCTTTCCTCTATTAAAAGGCACAGAGCTTCTGCAAGGAGGGTGATTAAGAGACGAGCAGGAATTCTACTGTCGGAACATTTTAATCAACATTTCTTAACAGTCACACACGTGTGGAATTTATTTAATAATAAACGTGTTTTTAAAATATATATAACCATAGGTTTCCGGATGACAAAATTCGCCTTGAACAGTCATCAACGCTTATAAAACTGCAAAATCCCCACTGCCATGCGTGCAAGGAGCCCACGCATGGCTCGTAATTCTCTCTCTTTATAAAGCATTGTGGGGGGGGAAACAGGTTGACACTAGATTGTTGTTTTCCTCTCCCGTCTTCTTGCTTCCTCTAACAAATTTTCCTACGCGGACAGAAATTTCTTTTTAACCTTCGACAACACGGTAAAGGGAGAAGGGACACGAGAAAGCCAAGCTGCGGCGCGGAGGAGAGAGAGAGAAGCCATGGTCTACTGTTCAAGCGACGCAGCCTGCCGATAGGCAGAGACGGAGCGTTTGCCGCCAAATCAGGTAGCAAAGCGACGAGGCCCGAGGAGGGGCTGAGGAGGCCACAGCGAGCGCTTGCCCTAGCATCTCCACGGCGACCGCTGTCGAGGCAGCATGGCGACTGAAGAGAAGGAGGTGGCCGTTGCGGGTAAGAACAAACCGCCCGGAGACTTCGAAAGCAGCTCGGTGATCTCCTCCACATGCTTTCTCCGCCAGGGCGGCGTCTTCTCGTGAATAGCCATATGCTGGGGGCTAGTGGGAACGCGCATGCTTATTATAAGCGCGGCAACAGTCTGTGGTCATCAAACGTCCCCCAGTACTCTCCATGCCCTCGCTGCCAACAGCTGATCTCCATCTTCTTGACTACCTCAAACCTCACTGTCCATATCCCCCCCCCCTCTTTCGTAAGAGACATAGTTCTAAACTTGAAAAACACATAGATTCTGGGCGTAGGATCAGGCAGTTACTTGAAGTAAGATTGATTGCTGCCCGTTTTAAGGGGTATTTTTTATCCAACTCCTGCAGAATGTTAAAGCAACGGATGGAAGCATTTTACAGGCAGTCCTAAGAACGCTTTCCTGGGACTAAGACTCATTGTGTAGACTTCAGTAGGATTCTGAGTAGACCTGCTAAGGGTGGCAGGGTTAGGCTGCCTTCACAAGTGACATTAAGGTCTGGGGGAAAGTGTTCTGCCCCCGGTAATGGAGGCTTAATGTGTGAAAACGGGCAGATGCAGTTTTTGGTGGAATGGAAGTAAATAACCACAAGGCAGTGATCCATGAGGGGGAACCTCCCACTTAGCCTCTATTAAATGTACATGGCATTGTTTTTCTCTAGGAAGCTAAGTGACATTTAATGATTTTTTACATTATGGCAGTACATGGAAGATAATGTCTATGTTCTGTAAGAACATGCATTTGATTTAAAAATGGAAAACATTCATGCAACCAAGGGCAGTGTAATACTCTAGATTAAATAACTGTAGTCTTTTTCACATGTTACAGTGAGCTCACATTCAGCTTGTATGTACATGCCTACACCTCTTTATAAGGAGGAGCCAATGTACAATCACTTTAAAAATGAAATCAGGGGCCACTACCTGGTTAAATGTGGTATTTGAATCACACATTCAGTTGTACATGTGTTGAATATGAAACTTACTCAACACATGTATAAAGAAACATCAAGGGTACTCCTTACATAGATTGTACATAGATTGTGAATAGGGCTAGTAGTGTAAAGGATGGACCAAAATGTTATGGAATGGTGAGCAGGCTTTTGAATTCCCCAAACTCTTCATCAGGCTGGATGTTGAGGTCAAAGAAAGAGAGAGGAGATATTTCAGGGCAGCTAGTTTGTAGCTAGTAAAATCTTAAAATGGAATACAGACTTTCTGGTGTTTGTTGAAGTCAGTTGCAAGAGAAATCAAAAGTATTTGGGACAGGGAAAACAGACCTTTACACTATCAATGAAAACCATAATACAGCCATCATTCATAATTCCGGAGTACTTTAAAAAATGAACTACAATCCTTCCAGATACACCAGAATTAAAACCCTTTTGTATCTATAAACCAGCTTCTCTAGGTCTGTCACCTATTGTAGTAGTTTTGAACAACTTCACATACACCAAAAAAACCAAAACATTTTTTGACATTTTCAGTGTCTTGAATTAGAGATGGAAGAAAAGGACAGAATTTAAATATCCAAACTGGCAGAGAGATGAAGATTTGCAGATTAAGACAAAGATTTAGGAAATTGCCCCACATAGCACAAGAGTGAGATGCTGCGGAATTGAGTAGCCTCCTAAGCACCTACGCCATAATGGTCAGCGTTTAACCTCAACAGTCTGGTGTACAACTTGTGTAACGATATTTGGGCCAAGTGAGTACCACACTATTACTGAACTGCAGAACGCATATGAGCCCTGGACTACAAAGTGGGAGAAGGAATTAGGGTCATCGACTTCACACTTTGCTTGACTTTAAGAATTAATTTCCCTTCCAGGATCCTATAAACTGTTATGGGTTCGATCAAGTCTGTTCCCCATCCCCTCTGTTTTGCTTTTCCCCCTACTACCTTCAACACCCATAGTTTTCGGTGCATAGGAGGGAATCTTCATATTAAAAAGTTTACCAACTCACATTTTTCTGCATATCTGGGGAGTTCGATTTTGTTGCTCTACTGATAAGCATGGGATGACGTTTTAGAGGGTGTGATGATATGATAAATTCAGAGCTAGGAAGAAAAGTAAAGTATTGAAATCAGACCAAAGAGTGGAAGTCAAGAGCATGTAATGAATGAAGAATAGGGATGTGGCAGCCATGTAGAGCAGAGGTATTGAGCTCACTTGTTGCAAGGGCTGGATCTGACATAAATGTCACTTTGTCAGGCTGGGCCATGTGTGCCATAAAATGTAACACAAGGTAGCAGAGATACAAACTTTATAAAGATGATTTCAGATGCCGAATGGCAATAACAGGCTTAATTGGATTAGGTGTGATATGCAGAAGAGTTGTAAGCATGGAGATATCAGCATTGGTAATGAGACAGGAAACCTAGGTCTCAGTTTAGTCCAGGAGGATTCAGTTCAGGAAGCTGCAAAGAATAAATGGAAATAAGTCTAATGAAGTGAACATTGACTCACAAAAACTCATACCCTACCACAAATTTTGTTAGTCTTTAAGGTGCTACTGAACTCTTACTCTTACCCTAATGCACCGGCCAATAGCCTGCCGTCCCTGCTGGAGGCCGTATCAGGCTGGGTGTTGGACCACCCTAGACTGATTGTCTTGGGTGATTTCAATGTCCATGCCGAGGATGCGACCTCCAGCCGGGCTATGGACCTAGTGTCGTCCATGGCGGCACTGGGGCTCTCACAATTTGTATTGGCCCCCACGCATCGGGCCGGTCACATGCTCGACTTGGTCTTTGCGGCGGGGGTGAGGGTGGACTGGATCACTGCTGAGGCAGTGCCATGGTCGGACAGCCTGACTTTGAAGGCCCATCTGAATGTACCACCTATGAGGGCGGCGGGCAGTGAATGTACCACCCCGACCCTATGAGGGTGGCGGGCAGTTTTATGCTCGCCCGCAGGGTCAAATGGACCCATTGCGGCTACATATGGCGATGTGGGAGCCAAGGCCCCCTGACGGCTCATTGGATGAGCTACTGGAGGACTGGCATGTTCGGCTCTCCACTGCCATCGATGAGATCGCTCCCAGGCGTCCTCTCCGCACTCGCTCTAGGCGCGCTCCCTGGTATACCCAGGAACTGCGGCAGCTGACACGAGGGCTGAGACAACTAGAGAGACGGTGGCGGCGTGCTTGCGACAAAGCGTCAAGATCATCCTATAGGACGCTTATGAGAGCCTATGAGATGGCAGTGAAGGCCGCGAAGAAAGATTTCTATGCGGCCTTGATTGCATCTGCTAGCTCACGCCCAGCCCAATTATTTAGTACGATTCAGTCTCTGACAGACCTGTCCCAGGGCAGGCAAAATGATAGGGAATTGGACATTGGCTGTGAGGCTTTTGCGAGCTATTTTGCAGATAAAGTCTTGGCGCTCCGCCGCGACCTCCCTGCCACAATTGAG